GGGGGCGGCGGGAGCTTCTCTCCCTTGCCGCCCCACTAATGCCGGTGGACCTCGGGAGTGTCTGCTTCCATTGTCTTCGCAATGTGGAAATCCGTTTCGACTGGATTGATGATAATGATGATGGCCTCTGACTGTGTTAGGGGTTTTCCTCCCTACTTCGAAGGCCGCGGCTGGACTCTGCCTCGAGTACCAAGAGACTTGGGTGTTGGGTCCCGTGATTCCGTTCAGGAAATGCTTGCTGCAGTTCTATCGGGGGCAGGGCCTCGGGATTTTGCATTGCTTTAAATAAATGTATTGTGTTAAATGACACATTGTGGCAATTGACTTCAGAACTCAAGTCACCTGAAAATCAAAGTGTGGACATCTCCCAGCGTATGAAGTAGCTCATTGCCATGTTTTCAGTTGTGGTAATCTCATTCGTGACAAATCTGAATACAATTCTCATTTGAAGGAAACCTTTATTCTGTCACTTGCAACTGATTTCTTATTTAAGTAAGTGTTGTTCATTCAATAAACCTACCACTATATTTACTTTCACAGAAAAGTTTTTTTTCACAATTCAAAAGCAACAGCAGAAATAGCATTAAGACTTGCTTTTAACCATTAAATGGCTGGAATGGGAAGAATTCAGCATGCGGGGGAACATAGTTGCTTTGTGGGCAGCAGGGATGTAAATGATGACTGCCAGGTGTCATTTGAGAGGAGAACATGTGAATTAAGTGTCATAAAACATTTAATGAGGGCTCCATGAATGTTGCCTGTAAGTAGGTGCTACTTTCCAAACTTTATAAATACTTAGTATGTAGGAATAATCGGAAGATCACTCTGTATGATTCAGATCAGATTAGGCATTCTTTAGTTTCCAGACATGATGGTAACATGCTCTAAATAGGACTTGAAACTGTCTAGTATGGCTAAGAAGGCCAATTTGAGAGTGACAATCTCTTCCACACAAATCCAATCTGTCCCCTGTCCAGCTCCCTGATTTGGCTGTTTTCGGGACTGCCTCAGCCTGCTGGACAAGGGTCTCTTTAAAATGGGAGAAGCCATGATGCACCGCCTGCCTCCAAGCTGAATGCTCAGATGTCAAAGTTCCTGTATGATTACCATTATACAAAACTACTCATGGTCATCACCATATTTAGTAAAATGTTGGTGATATCACTTTCCCACCTTAAGGCACAAATCCATTATTTGGTAAATGCTTTGAAACTGCAGCTTTTCTACTCCACAAGGCCCACATTCTAGCTCAAAGCCAGCAACTAGCATACCCTCAAGCAATATACACTGTCTAATCAGGAACGATGACAAAATTATCAATAACAGTAAGTCCTAAATGGACTACAACTGCTTGCAGGTCCCTCAAAGCATATGAGCAGAGAAAGGGGCACTTCATATATGCTTAACAATTCAGTCACATTTACCATCTTGAGACAGCAACAGTACTGTGTTTCTTTGAAAACTACAGGGTCTCATTTGCTCCAAAGAAAGCATTAGAGCTTATTTTCAGGGGATGTTTTATTTTTTTCATGTATAACAATCTACATTTATTCAAATACAGTCATGTCATCTTCAGGTTACTGCACAATGGATGGAGAGCAGGGTTTCACTTAAATGGGGCTTATTTTTGGAGCATCCTGAAAAATCATACTAGGGCTTATTTTCAGGTTAGGTCTTATTTTTGGGAAAACAGAATTCTTACCATAATTCAGTTCACATGAAAATGACTAATGCACTGTTTGATGATCAAATGGCAGAGATTAAGCAAACAGCGAGAAACAGTAGTTATTATCCAGGTACCCTGTCACCTCCCCTGGCCTCTCAGGGAAGATATGCCTTACCATTAAATGTAATCTCCTAGCCTGGTTTTGGCTTTTAGAAATCAGAAATAGCAGTCCACTGCCTACTTTGAAAAATATATTACTTGCTCAAAAAAAGAGACTTGGCAAATTGCATGGCCCTTGAGACTTTCCAGGTTAGTTTACATGTGTAAGTGGGGGAGGGAAAACATGCCCCCTGCCAATAGTAACTAGAAGAAATTGCTCACTGCTGCACTAAACTATCAAACATAGAATTCTAACTCAAAATAATCCACTGGTTTGATTTTTTTTCTTTAATTATATACACCTTCCCTTTTTAAAAACAAAACCAGAATGTTTCCATATTTAAGTCAATTCTTTTTGAAACACATATTTCAAAAGGGAGTGTTGAAGAAACAGGGGAAGTCATGATCAGTATATTGAACTGGTAGTTCTTTGCATGTCAGTCAAGCATCAAATATCTTTTTCTGATTATATCCCGCAGCAACCCTTCTCTTTTTATCTGATTTCAGTCCAGGAACCAATAATACTCAGAGATCTAAATAGTAATTGGAAAAATGTTTAGTGCAAGTAAGTTACTCAAAATATTCTTCCAGCACATACATAATGGCAAATACATAAACAAGCCCGCAGTACACATTAACGTCTGTGTTAAAAGTAACAACATGTTACATGTTTTCATCATCTGATTCATCCTCTTCTTTCAGAGATTCCTGTTGGAAAAAATAGAAAAGATCAATTTGTACTGCTTGCTTAAAAAAAGTAGACATTCTATAGTGAAACAAAAAACCCACTGCGGAGTAAAAAGTTTTGACTGTTTTACACCAGCTTTATGTAAGCACAAGTACAAGAGCAGACTAGAAGTCAGGTCTCCACTTGTTTCTACTTGATGTTTTAATATTTTATTTTAAGAACATATTTAAATAAAGGTATTGCCCTTACAGGCTTTGAAAATTTCAGTGAAGATTGTGGCTGTTTCTTTTATTTATTTATTTATTTATTGGACTTATATACCGCCCCATAGCGCTACAAGCACTCTCCGGGCGGTTTACAATTTTTAATTATACAGGCTACAGATTGCCCCCCCAGCAAGCTGGGTACTCATTATGAAATATGCAAGTGTGTTTAAACAAGTAGTGAAAATATTTGGAGCTATTCCAAATACTCTAAATTTCAAATGGTTACCTTAGCATATTTCTCTGCTTCTTCCTTAATGTCCTTTGGGACCATTTCGTGTTTTCCTTTCGTTACTGTGGACATTTTAAAAAACAGAATTTAAGACCATGTTAACAGTTACAATTTTTAAAGTACAATAGCATTTTTTTTACATTTAAGTAAATCTATTTCAGGGATAAATTAATTTTCAAATGTGGCTTATTTCCACAAGCCTTTGACTGTGTGGACCACAACAAACTATGGCAAATTCTTAAAGAAATGGGAGTGCCTGGCCACTTTATCTCCTGAGAAATCTGTATGTGGGACAGGAAGCAACAGTTAGAACTGGCTATGGAACAACCGATTGGTTCAAAGTTGGGAAAGCAGTACGACAAGGCTGTATATTGTCTCCCTGCTTATTTATATGCAGAATACATCATGTGAAAGGCTGGACTGGATGAATCCCAAGCTAGAGTTAAGATTGCTGGAAGAAATATGCAGATGATACCACTCTGATGGCAGAAAGTGAAGAGGAATTAAAGAACCTCTTAATGAGGGTGAAAGAGGAGAGTGCAAAAATGGTCTGAAGCTCAACATCAAAAAAAAACTAAGATCATGGCCACTGGTCTCATCACCTCCTGGCAAATAGAAGGGGAAGATACGGAGGCAGTGACAGATTTTACTTTCTTGGGTTCCATGATCACTGCAGATGGTGACAGCAGCCACAAAATTAAAAGAGGCCTGCTTCATGGGAGGAAAGTGACGAGAAACCTAGACAGCATCTTAAAAAGCAGAGACATCACCTTGTCGACAAAGGTTCGCATAGTTAAAGCTCTGACCGATGGCGTCACGAAGAGTCGGACACGACTAAACAAATTTCCACAAGATAGCAGTCATAACAAAAT